GGACCCATCCCCAACAGCACATCCCAACCCACCAGCATCCCTCTGGCCACCCGGGGCAGTGCCCAAAGCGTGCCCTGCCGCTCACCTGCCGTGTGCCAGGTGGTGCCCGACGTCAGGCGGTCCCTCTCCAGCAGCACCACGTCCCTGAGCCCCATTTTGGCCAGGTGATAGGTGGTCTGGCAGCCCAGGCTGCCCCCACCCACCACCACCACCTGTGCCGAGGCTGGCGGGGGCCGGCTGGGCTCGCAGGGACCCTCGGCCTGCAGCGTCTTCTGGTACGGGACGCTCTTCTTGGCCGTGGGGCCCGAGGAGCTGCTGAAGGGCCGGGGACTTCTCCAGGGGGCTGCTGCCCGCCAGGCACGGCTCATGTAGGACATCTCCACCTGCAAATCCCCAAATGGCCTCGCTGCATCCCTGGGCAGCTCCTCTGCTCGCCTCGCCGCCCATCGCTGGATGCTGCGCAGAGGGTGAGCCCTGGGGCACATCCCTGAGTGGGCTGCTAGGATCCCTGTCCGGCAGGGAAATGTGTGTGTGTGCTCCCAAACACCCTCCAGAGGCACCCCCTTAACAAAGGGGTTTGGGAATTCCCAGGGCACGGTGACCCTCACCCCACTTTTTTGCCCCCACTGGGGAAACACAGGAGCTGTTTGAGCACAGAGAAGGTGCCAGTTCTGCTCCTTATCAGAGGGTGGGGTAATGGCTGCTGGGGGAGAAACGGGGACAGATCCTGCCTGTGAACACTGTGTGGGTCCTGGCTGAGGACACAGCTTGGGATTTGCTCCTGGAACAGATTTTGGGTGCACACGAGGAGTGCGGTGGGGCCAACACAGACCCCTGTACACAAACCACAACCACGGCCTGGGTCTGCCCTGGGGATCACCCCACTGAGACCCCCTGCGTGCTGCCACACAGCCACCAGAGCACCCACTGTGTCCCCCCACTGTCTCCTCACTGTCCCCCCAAGCTTCAGACTCCCACTCGGAATTCCTGTGACAGCCCATGGCACATTCCCACCAGGCACCACTCACCAGCAAGGCTCGCTCTGGGCTGGCTTTCCCTGCTGGGATGTGGTGGGGCCCCCTGCCTTCCTCTGATGCTCTCCTTCTCCTCCTCCTCTTCCGTCCCCTTGGCCCCTGCTGCAAAAAATATTAACCAGCACTTGGAGGCGAGCGGAGCCAGCCTGAGCAGATAGAAAAGAGGGACTCACCTCCCTTTGTCACCCTTCTCGTGGCTCTGCTGCTTCCCAAGCAAGACAAAACGTCCAGCAGAGTAGAGAGATTTAAAACAGGCAGGAAAACGCTGCTTTTTTCTCCCCGGCTTGGTGCCCAGCAGAGAACAAACAGCCCAGCTGGAGCCAGGGGGACTCGCAGCTTCCCTGGCTGGCTCAGTGCTGGCTGGAGCTGTCAGCTGAATGCCAGAGAGCAAACACGGCGAGGAAAGGCACCATCTGACCCTCCTGCTGCAGTTCCCATCGGCTCCAGTCAGAGAACAGAGTTAAAATTTACACCTCTCCTAAGCCAGACCCGAGAGCTCAAAGTGAAGGTGGCAACACCAAAAAAGAAAATTAAAAAAAAAAATTAAATTTGAGTTGGGTATTAAAATAAGGGCTTGATTTAGATCTCTAAACCTGAAGGTTTGTTGTTCCTTCAGCTCAGGGCTCACCCCTGGAATTAGAGCCTGTTTGGGCAGGATACAGAAGTTCTGCTGCAGGGCCTCGTGCTGGTATCTCAGAGCAGCACAAGCCGGGGTGGAGTCAGGGTTTGGCTGGTGGCTGGGAGGGATTGGGGTCCCAGCAGCATCATGGTCCCCCAGACAGCATCACCCACCCCTGCAGAGCTCTGAGCAGCCATGGGATGGTTTTCTGGGGGCCTTTAAGCATCCAGCTTAAGTGGAAGTGCCTCTTTTCTGCTCCTCAGTACCCAAACCCTCTGCTCCTGCCTGCTGGACACCCTGTGGTACCCAGTGTGCATCCAAACTCCCCCAGTTTGGGAAGGGTTTGAACAGGAGCTGAGGGGTTCCCTTATTCCACCTTTATCCCCTGTCTCCAGCAGCATTTTAACTCCTTCTCCCAAAGACAAAACCAGTTTCTCAGTTTTACACAGAGAGTCCCAATTCATTCAGGCTTCCCCATGGACTAAATTGCTCAGAATAACCACAGAGCTGCAAACAAGTCTAAACTCCTGTTTGCAGTGGGGTGTTTCTGTTTGACAGAACCATTTCATCAGCATGTCCAAATTATAAATATGACCTTTGGCTTAGACCAGACCTACAATACACAATACAATACAAGCCCAAGTCCACTTCAGCAGCCTGAGTCCTTCACCAAGCTCAGGATGGACAGAGAGGGAAGTGGCAGCTCCTGCAGCCCCTCTGAGCCCTGATGTAACTCCAGAGCAGGAATGAGGGGGGTTATTTTTTGGGATGGTCAGTCCAGCGTGGAGGGAGCGTGCACAGCTCCATCTCCCCCTGTAATTTTTAAGTTAATTCTAAAATTGAGCAGCGCCGTGGTTCAGGCACCAGCTGGAGTTTTCTAGGTCACAGCAAACGTGGTTAATGCAGGGCTGAGCCAGCCAGGCGTGCTGCAGACTGTCAACATTTCCTCTGCCACCTCATCAGAGCTGTGGGCTCAGTCTGCCCCACAACCTCAGTCTGGGCAACACCAGCAGCAGCACCTGACCCTGAACCAAAAGCACCCAGATCTCAGAGTCCTGCTGGGCAGAGCTGTCCTGAGCTCTCCTCTTGGCCACCCCCTGCCTCAGTTTCCCCAGCTGATGGTGCAGCCATTTGGACCCTGTTTTTGTGATGCCCCAGGCTGGGCCGGGTGAGCTCACCCCCAGAGGGGCACAGGGAGGTGGCCACACTCTGGCTGGTGGCCACGGGGCTCAAGGGGCCAGGGGAGGTGGCTGTTCCACCGGGACAGAAGCTGCTGCTGGCAGAGGGCAGCCAGCAAACAGCCACTCCACACCGTGTTTGCTCACGGGGGATTTTGTCAGCAGCTGCCCTTGCTGGGGGAAAATCAGAGTAATAAATAAGACCCCGTGCCTGGAGTGTCCCCCCAGTCCTGGGACAGGCCAGGGGCTGCACAGGGCTGGAGCCAGCTGCGCTGGCTGGAATTCATTCTCCTGTTAATGCCCCTGGAATGCTGTTCCTGCTCTGGTTACTGCACCTGGCCATGGCTGGGCAAGCTGGATCAATGCCCCATTTATTCCTGAGCTGGCAGACCCTGCATTGGAGCAAGCCCCAGGAGAAGATTTTGGCAGGAAGCCGAGTGAAGCCACTGAGGAGGGACACACCTGCCAGCCACAGCCACTCCCCACAGGAGTGATGTCCCCAGCCCTGGGCTGGCAGGGATGTCCCCAGAGGCAGGGCAGAATGGGAAGGGATTTTTGCAGTGCCCAGCTCCTGGTTCCAGGCTCCAGTGCTGTGTTTGGTAGCCCAGCTGTGCCAGGGCCAGGCTGATGCTCATCACCAGCAGGGGAGGGCCCAGACACCAAAACCTGCTATTCCATACCTGGTGAATGTTGCAGAGATTCCCTTAGACCAAAGAGCCACGAGGAAAGAGTTTATCCCAGGCAGGGTCAGCACCTGGACCAAAGCTTAACACTTGGCTGGGCAGCACCTTCCCAAACCAGCATCCAAAATTTAGTGCCCAGCCCACGTCCTGATTCTCCAAGTAAAACCCCTCTGCTCATTGCTGCATCCCCTTCCAGCTGACCCTGGGAAAAGTGAAGCACTAGGGACTCCAAGGGTGAAAAAAATTAATGTTCCTAATTAAATGACATGGCAGGACATCACATCCCTGCTCGAGGGGAAGCCTCTTGAACACCTCAGGATTTTTAAGCACCTGTGCAACTTGTTTATCGCTCTGGAATATGCTGCTGCCTGCAGGGCCAGGTGGGATTCTGGAATATGATATTCAGGAGTGACTAAAAGCCATGGAAAATCAGCCTCTTTCTTTCACCCTGCAGGGGCTCAGCTTGGAAAAAGAGAGGATTCACAGGAAAGCTCCTGGATGGGACAACTGCACGAGTGGCAGCTGCTCCAGGAACGAGAGACAGGCACCCCAGAAGGGATCTACTCCAAATTTAGGAGGGGTAAAAACACTTACTGTTCATGCCAGGAATGGGGAAGGATCTGTCCTTGGGAGCACCCGTCTTCCCTGGATAGGCAAAGCCCTGAGCCCCAGTGCAGCCAAGGGGGTTTTAGTGACAACGACCCTGACAGGACCCTGAACCCCCTGGCACATTAAAAACCATGGCTGGGAAAATAAAACCTATCAGCAAAATTACACTTTATTATTTTTTTTTTTCTGTTGGGGAATTTACTTTGATGAATTGTAACTTAAAAAGGCCTGGAAAAACCACATGCAGAAGGGTTTCTAAGTAGCAGCTAAAGTTTCTATTCCAGCATTACAAGCTATTCCAAATGATTTCCAAATTCCCAGCTATAAACTATTCCATTAAACAAACAGTTTTATCTTTAAACTCCCTCCACCCTACCCCAGTTAGTGCAGTGCAAAGGAAAAACCCAAAGGAATTTACATATTATTTTCCAACGTATCCCATTGCAATTCCAAATGACCTGTGAAGAATTAAAATAATACATACAATTTTCTCGCCATCATAAAAAAACCCCAAACATTTCCCTTTCTTATTCACAGATATATTTGTGGCAAATGGCTGAATAATTACTTACAAACAGAACAATCTCTTTTTAACAAGTTTCTTACACCAGTAAACACAAGAGGGAGAGCTCTCTGGGGGAGGGGTTTTGGCAGGGCAGGCAGAGGGTGGGGGTCCCTTTGGGGTGTAAGGGACAGAGGTGCCCTGGTCCCTGTGACAGGGCTGTGCTCTCCCCAGATGATGCCCTTACAAAATTGGCCACGTTAAACAGGAGGGGCTGTAAGGCTTTAGGATCTGAGGCAGAACAGGAGCCAGCAGGAGTTTGTGTGTCCCACGCACCCAGCACAGCCTCTGGAATGGGAATGGGACCCTCTGCTCTGCACAGGAGCGGGGAATTGTCAGCTCCCTGCTGGCTGCTCCCCTCGAGCTGAGCGTGGAGGGGCTGGCTGGGAGAGGTTAGCACCAAACAGTACCTTGGGAATGCCCTGAGCCCCACGTTCCTGTCACCTCCCTGCTGCACCCCCCCGAGTGGGGGCACCCCCATAGCTCCAGGAGGAACAGGGAGCAAAGCAGGGTGGCTCTGGGCTGGCCACTGAGCACCAGCATGTAATTCCCAAGTTAGCATCATTTCCTTGCCCTTGAGAGATCCAAACTCTTCCGTTTCTTATCCCAAACGTGGTTCTTCTGCTCTGTTTGCAGACCTCATGCCAGGGCAGCAGCTCTGCTCACCCACCCAGCACTGGCATCTCCCAGACTTGCAGCAGGATCCCACAGCAGGGACATGGTGCTGCACAGCAGGACCACCACAAATCCCAGGGGAACGACGTCAGGGCATGGAAGCACCAGCTCAAAACACCACCTGTTCAGAGAGGAAGCTCCTGGGGCTCAGATACAGGGGAGTTGTTCCCTATCACGCTCCCAGACATAGATTTTATTGTATTTGCACTTTGGGAAGGGCAGACTCGGACAGAGGGTGCTCAGGACACAGTGGAAATGTCACAATACATGGATCACCTTTACTTGACAGCAGCAGCAGGAACAGCCTGTGGGAGGAAGAGCAGGGGGCAACGCTGCCAGCCCCCAAAAGTGCACAGAGCTGGGAAGAGGAGATGCTTTCACAGCTCAGGGACAGGATTCAGGACTTGATACTGTAAGCCCTTATACAGGTGGGTTCACCCTGAGCTCATGAGGTGGGATTTATCACAGCTGCAAGGAAAATCAGCCTGGCTCAGGACTGCCAGAAAGGAGAGGACAGACCCAATGATATCCTCTGCAGGTACCTGGTGCCTTGGTGGCCCCTGAAAACCTTGCATGGAGCACATCTCCAGTCCTGCAATGCAGTGATACCTCCTGCTCACCAGTGGGACCAGTCATCCCCCTGGGCACCCCCCTGCCAGCAGCAAGGCTGGTGGGACTGAGGTGACCTTAAAGAAAATGGGATTGGGGGTGCCAAAATGGCTCTCTCCCCTCCTGGCTGACCTGAAGGTCCACTTCCAGCCTACATCTGAGGGTCAAAATGGTCACAACCCTCTCCTCCTCCCAGGCCAGGTGTCCCCACCCTGCCCCTTGGCCTGGCCACAGCACGGTGCTGCCCATGGCTGCCAGGGCCACTGCCAAAATCCTGACCTGGATAAACCACCTGTGGCAGGGGGTCTGCATCGTCTCCTCGGGGCTCCCTCCCCTGGAAGACCCCAAATTCTCACCCAGGCACAAAACCTTCAGCCTCACCCTTGCACCATCATCCCCACAGTGGCTTTTCAAAGCCCTTGACAGAAGAGGGGTGTGGGACCCACACCCCCGTGGGCGCCCCAGAGTCTCTGAGCTCTGTCCAAGCAGGGAGAGCGCGGCTCTCCCGGGGCTCCCCCGCAGCTGCTCCTCCAGCGCCATCCCACAGCCCATCCATCTTCTGTACACGGAATGGGGGCAGCCTGGACGGGTTGGGGCGGTGAGGGGCTGCAGGGGCAGTCCTGGGAGGTGTCCAGCACGGGGACAGTGCACTCGGGCTGCAGCCGCTGCCTCTGGGCGCTCGACGACTTCCACCAAGCACGGCCGCGGTCACTGCACCCCCTCCTCCTCCACGTACGTCGAGGGAAACCAGCCCACCTGTGGGGGGACAGGAGAGGTGAGCTGGGCAGCTCAAGGGCCACAAAGCCTCTTGGAGTGCAAGGATTTGGACAACCCAGGCACAGGGTGGGGCTGTTGGGATGTACTGTGCAGGGCCAGGAGCTGGACACCATGATCCTTGTGGGGCCTTTCCAGCTCTGTGATTTTATAAGAGAGCTCCTGTCCCGTCACTGGGATTGTTCCCCTGCCATGAAGTGCTGTTCCCAGTCCTGGATGTGCCAGATCCTGAAGGTGTGAGCCATCACCCTAATTTGGGATGGAGCTAACTCCCGTACATCACTTTGGACACATTGCTTGCAAGAGGAAAGGACAGGCAGAATCTGTCTCCAGTGCCACAAAATCTGTGGGATACTGGTTTTCCCAGGATGCTGAGCCTCCCCCTGCAGAGCCAGCATACATCCCCCACGGGCAGGTTTAGGGAAGACCAGACCCTTCCACCACGTGCTCCCATCCACCTGTGTGCCCTGGATATCACTGTCACAAAGCACCAAAGCACAGGGTGGTTCTGGGGAGGTGACAGCCCACCCAGAACCCAGGAAAGAGCGAGAGGGCGTGGGACACACACCCTTCCCTTTGCCATCCTGACAGCAGAGAGGATATCCCGCTGCAGGAACAGGACAGGAATTTCTCTGGATGCACTCACCCTTCCATTGGTTTCCCCCTTCCACCAGCCCTGGTCCCCTCCAATCCTGCTGTAGATCTTCACCACGTCCCCCTCCCGCAGCGACAGCTCTCGCATGTCCCGCGCCGCAAAGTTGTACCGTGCCACCGCTGTGCCTATGACCCGGGGGGTGAACACTGCCAGGGGACAAAGCACAGTGGGTCAGGAGCAGCCCCACGCTGGCTGAAGCCTGGGGAAAGCTTGGTGAGGTTCAACCTGGGTTTTCCACCACGGCACTGAGAGCTGGAGGTGCTCAGATGGAGGGGTGGCATCACCTGAGCTGCTCTGCCCCGCACGGGGTTAAATTGGGTTCCTGCTGGGCTTTGAAGGACTCTGCAGGCTTGGGAAGGCCCTCTCTGCTAGACAGGGGCTTGGTGGGGATCACTGGGGTGAAGGGGCACTTTTGTGAGGTGGTAAAAGAAAGGATTTCATAGGAATACACAACCATTAACAAAGAAACCATGGAAAAATCCTGTCCAGCTCTCAGTCTCAGGTCTGGCTGCCACACATCTCCCAGCATCTGATGGAAGCACTCTGTAAATCAACTTGGATTTAAGCTACTTCAAAAACAGAGTTACTGGGAATGGATTCTCCTAGAGGTGTTCAGTGAATCCTGTGTGCTTTGCCATGAGGAGGAACCTATCCTGGAACCTCCCTGCTCCTGTCCCTGCCAGGGAACTTGGTCCCATTGGAGACCAAATGGCACCAAACCCTAACACCAACCAGCACCTTGGGATGAGGAGATGACCCCAGGAGCCATCCTGGGAGCTGACCCCACCAGTACAGCCCCAGCCCTGAGGATCTCCATCACTTCAGGCAGGGGATGCTCAGGGGAAGCACAAGGAGGGGGGAGGCAGGGGCAGCACTCAGCATTCCTGCCCCAAGGTCTGGGCATGGGGAAAAACACTGGAGAGCAACAGTGGAGGGATGGGATGGGTAGAGGAGGAGAAAAATGCACTTTCTCTGGAGTTCACAAAAAAGAAATAAACACCCTGAGGGGTTGTTGTGTTTTACTCCCCTCTTTCTGCCAGGATTTCCAAGGGTTAATTTCAACTATAAAAGCGTACAAACCAAGGTTGAACGAAGTTTGAGGGAAAGCTTTGCCCAGGTTTTCAGCTCTTGGGGTGGAAGGAGATGAGGATGGCAATGGAGACAGTTTGGACACACAATGTGAGATCACTGGAGGGTTCATCCATCCTGGCCAGGCAGCCAGGCTGGAGAATGGACAGAAATCATGGCAGCTTTGAGCTCCTTCATCAGGACTTGCTCAGAACCCCTTGCTACACAGATCACTCCCTGCAATACTTTCTATGCAGTTAGAGAATCCCAAAATCCCAGATTTATGCTTGAAGTTAAGTGTTCTTCCCAAACACGGCACTGAGGAAGGCACATGTGGCTTTGCTGGTTATTTTCTCTGTCCAGCCTAAAGGAGAGACTTTAAAAACTTCAATGGGAAGAAAATCTGGCAGGATTTTGCTGTGATCCTATCGAGAGGGAGGATGAGCCTGGAAAGGCTGGGACAGCACTGCACTCTGTGCAGGGACACTGAGCCCAAAACACACCTGGCAGCACAGGTGTGGCCCTGTCCCCTCAGCAATGGGCTCTGAGCAGCCTCAGACAGCAGAGCTCAAACCCTGCAGGACACTGGGATGTTCTCCTGGAGGACCAGGACAGGGTGGGATGCTGATGCTCACTGGGTGAGACACACGGGATAAGGGGGTCAAGCTTGAAGTACATCATGAGATCCCAAAGTGCTACATCCACTTTTTTTCATTATTGTTAATTTTAGCCCCTTTTCTCAAACAGCAACAAGTCCATCTCCTCCCTGCCTCGATCTTGGGGAGAGGGGGGGAGTGCATTTTGATGCCAACCAAGCCACGGTTAATTAACTTAATTAACTTATTTCCCAGGGCAGCACTGGGCACCCTCTGAACTGCCTGTGGGGATGGAGGGACCCCACAGATCCCACTGGTGATGGCTTTCAAGCTGGGGATGGTGGCAGGTCTCTCCAGCAGGGAGAGGCACTGGTACCTGACCAGAAGGGACTGGAGGAGCTCTGAGAAGAAAAGTTGAGGCCCTGAGGACTGAGAAAAGAAAAGTTGTAGGAAGCGCAGGAGGCTGCAAAGAGGTTAGAGAGAAACAGAAAGAGGCAGAACACACATTAAAAAGGAAATTAAAATAAAATATTATAAGGCACAATGCTTTAAAAGCTGATGGAGGCATACAGGGCAAAGCATGCAGAGGGTCTTGTGCAGGGGCTTGGAGCTGGGACAGCTGAGATAAGGTCTGGCCACAGCCCCACAGCCATTAGGGGCTCAAAATTCATCCTAGGGTTGTATTAAATGCAGAAAGATATTTAACCAGCTTTTAAAACCTATCTTCCTTTGGTATTCTTTTCTAAATATAGCATGGAGAAAAATATTTAAAAGTTATTATTCCCCACAAAGCAGTTAGTTCTGCACTCAGGCTTTTGGACAAAACATCTTGCATTATTGCACCTTTTTCATCCCATTTATTTTGATTTTTCCTTTTTTTTTTTTCTTTTAGACACAGACTTACCCTTTCACCCATCACCTCCATTAAAGGAGTCCCACTGGGATTCAAACCACCACAAGTCACACTGGAAGCGGATCCATTAAAACACAAAAATCCCACGTGGATGGGAAAGACAGGATAAATCCCACAAAGTGAACATCACAGCCCTGCTCCCAACCAGAGGGTGGGCAAACCACAGGGTGAAAAACCTCAGGAGGGGAACCAGCCCATCCCAGCAAAAACTGTCCCTTCAGAGAGCAGCAGATCCAGCTCTGCCAGATCCCTCTGATCTCTGGTGAGGCTCAGCCTGAAAATGCCACCAGCCCTGAAGAACTTCTCTGCAAACTGAGGAGCTCAAGCCCTGCAGTGAAGCTGTAAATCCCTTCATCCACTTCTCCTGCAGCTGGCTGGAAGGGGCAGGTTTTCCAGGACAGCCAAGCTGGGTTTTACCTGGGGAGCGGGTGAAGGTTCTGGAGGTAGAGCGCTCCCGGGATTTGTAGGGATACTTCAGGGTCGTGTCCAGCTGCTTGAAGCTCTCCTTCAGCGAGTGGCTCTGGTAGTACTCGACCAGCTCCTGGGAAGGAAGGAAGGAGAGGCACCTGGCTGTCTCTGCCACCCCCTGCACAACTTGCAGAGAGAGAGCTACAAGGGGGGAAAAAGCCCACCAGCAAGCTTTCGAACTTCTTGGCTTCCGTGATGTGAATCCAGTTGTCCTTCTCCACCACCTTGATGTGCTTCACCTCCTCGTTGAACCTGCCAATGACAGAAAAGACACTCAAAAAAACCACAGCCAGCTGCTCCAGCCCTGGCTCATCCTCTCTGAGTGAGGAATACTGAATTCTTCAATTCCTAAATGGGGAATTACTCACTTAATACTGATGGCAAAGCGCTCGGCCTCAGCCGGCCGCTCCCGGATCAGGTAGGTGCCGCTGACGTGAGATTTGAGCAGGTTGTCCGTCTGATGCCTCTCCATGTTCCCTGCAAACCTGAGCCCAGAGGTTAATTAGTTCGTTTAATTCATTAAAATAAACTCAGATCTTTAAACAGGCATGTTTTAGACAAAAAGAGACATCTTTTTTAAAGGCATGAAGGCTGGAGGTGCAGAAACATCAGAAATACCCTGAGCAGGAAGGAAAGTGCCCTGAGATACACAAGAAGCTGCTGAGCCACTGAACCACACAGAGGGTGGCCTCTTCCCTTTGAAGCACCTGACACCTGGAAAAACTCACTAATTGGGAATCAGTCTCCAGGTTAATGAGGCCTCAGCAAGAGCTGGAGAGCAGGGATAATTGATATCCATCAATTTGTAAACCTGGCTGGAGTTGGAGAGAAGGAGCAGCAGGTAAGCCAAGCACAGCCTCTCCTGCCAAAGCAGGAGTTGCCTCCTTTCTCCAACAATCATTTTCCAGGCACAGAAAATGGGAAGAGAAACCAGCATCTCTCTTTTTGCCTCTGACCCTCTCCATCAGTGAAGAAATCCCCACAGCTGCTGCCAAGGCTTTCAACCCCCAAACACCACCGTGGCAGCTGCTCCACGGCCACATTTCTGGGATGCAGAGCACTGCTGGTCTGCATTTGGAATTCCTTACTGGAGTGGATTCCTGAGCAAGTACCAAGCAAAAGGCGAGGCTGGTGTCTGTTCCTGCCCACTCACCACGGGTACGCTGTGTAGTCGATCTCCCGCGAGGGCGGCCGGCTGTTGGGGGGCTGCAAATTGAGAATTGCTCATTAGCGACCAAGCAGCAGCTCCTCAGGCTGTGGATCCCGTGTGGGATGCCCCTCTCCATGGGAGCCTTCCCTCTGCCAAGCCATCCCTTGATTCTGGGCTCAGGCAGCGGAGGGCAGTGTTGTAGCTGAGCGTTTCCCTCTCAGCTCCCAGCTGGGATGAGCAGACTGTGTTTGTTCATTTACCTGAGTGGTTTTTAATTGGGAAGCAGCTGACAACATTACAGAAAGCAGCTAAAAGAAATTAAAATAAACCAAATGCAGTTTTCCTGCACCGTGCTCCCGAGGCAGCCCTGCAGAGAAGGAACAGAGCTGGAGCTGACCATGCCAACCCAGCCTTGGGAATGGGGCTGGGACCACCCTGTCCTGACACCTGCACCCATGGGTGAGGGATCCACCTCCCCCGTGAGGCAGAGGCCTCACTGGAGGTCCAGGGAAGGACTGAGGTCTTGAGGAGGCTGAGAAGAGTGACAGGAACAACCCCCCCAGCTGCACCCACTTCCAGCTCCATCTCCTCTCTGGCACTTACCCTAGCATCCACGGGGCAGGGTTTCACTGAGGAGCTGGGGAAATAACCCGACTTCTTCGTCTGGAGTAGCCTCCCCTGCAAAGCCAAGCTGGGCATCAGACTGGGAGCACTGGTGGCACTGTGCAGGGGTGGGGACAGGCCCCAAACTGCCTCCCAACCCCCTGTGCCAGGAATGGCCACAAATAAAAGGGAGAAGGCAGAAGTCGCTGGTTTAGAAGTTTCCAGGAGTTTCCCAGGAGGAATCACTCTCACCTCCCACCACGGTGAGTCGGGGTCCCCCCTCAGCAGCTCGATCACATCCCCAATTTGAAAGGTCAGCACTGGCTTCCCAGGAGGGGCTGGGTTTCCATGGTAATTCTGAACTGCCACCATTTTAGGACCTGGCAGAGAGGCAAAACAGTTTCACAACCTTGTCCCTGCTGAAAAAAACCCAAACAAAACCACCCCTCCTGAAGTTACTCCTTATCCCCTGACACGGCACAGCAGGCAGGATTTAGGGGCAGGAAACATGAAAGCAGAAAGGAATGGTGTCCACAGTGAATGTTCTTGGCTCCTGCAGTTACATGCATGACTGAGTTCTCTGAGCAAAAATAAACCCTGGAAGGACCCAGCCAAGCTGAAGCTCCAGCTCCCAGCCCTGCAGCTGGACTCCCCGAGGCAGAGGAGCTCTTGCCAGGCAATGCCTGGCCAGCACCAAGCTCTGCCAGGCTCAGCAGTGACACTGCAATTGCAAAAGGGACCAGTGAACCACTGAATATCAGCTGGACCTGGGACTCAAACACCCCTGAAGCTCTCAGTCAAAGTCCATTTGTCTTGCCAACACGTTAAATGAACATCCCCCACAGCACCAAACCCACAGTGTTTATCCTTAAAATGCCTCCCCACCTCTGCCTCTCCCCTCCCAGCAAGAGCGCTCTGTGCTTGTTTTGTTGCGTTTTGGTTTTTTTTTTTTAACGAAATTTGATTCAGGTTTCTTTTTGCCAGGCTTGGCTTTCTTTCCATCAGAAACAGCACAAAAACAAATTGTTCCTCTCCTTTGAGCCAGAGCAGGGGCAGGGCAGCCCCTGAGCTCTGTCCAGGCAAGTTTTGAACACAGGAAGGTAAAAGTTATTGCAGTAACCTTTGTTGACTGATGGCCCATCAGAGACCCTGAGCACAGTGGACATGCCAGCAGGAGGATGCTCCCCATCAGCAACAAATCTCCCTGCCAGAACATGCCTGGGCTGCCCTGAAGGGTGGTTTGGCACCAGGATGTTGTGCCAGGCTCTCCTTGGTCACCAGTGCAATGGGCAGAAGCTTTCCTGGCCCAGCAGGAATTGTGTGGCAGCAGGGACAGGAGAGCCCCCAGTGCCCCATTGCTGCCCACGAGGGTGCACAGGACCTTTCTGCAGGTACTAAAGCTCTTTCCTGCTTTTGGAAGGAGCCTCCCCCTCCCACACACTCAGTGTTGGTGATTCCTGCAGCCACAACCTCTCCCTGCCCTCCTGTCACACAGCAATGCCCTTACCAGGTCCTGCACCCAGTGAATCCTGCAAAGAAAGAGGAAGAAGACTCAGTGAGGAGACATCAGCGTCAGTTCTCCCTGCAAGCACCCACCTGATGCCACTGGGATGAGAAAACCTCTCCCCAACTCTCCCTGGTCCCCCCCAGCCCATGGTGCTCACCCCAGGTGGGTGCTGGCACCTCCTGAGGGCTCTGGTGCTGCTTCAGCTGGGCCAGTTTTTGGCCACTGGCCCCCAGTCCTGTCCCACAGGTTGCTGGGACCCCTTCTGAGGCCAGTGCTGGATCTTCCCAGGAGCTGCCCACACCCAGACTGAACAAGGACACAGGGGGGTGAGGAAAAGGGCCAAACCACGTACCTGGTCTGCTGAAGAACCTGCATGAGAAATGGTGGGACAAGTGGTTAATTTAACAGGCAACAAACCCCATTTTCTGTTTCTCCCCATGCTCTGAGTATCAACAAACCAGTGTCAGGGTGTGAACTCGATGCAGGAAGCCCACAGGTTGGGTCACTTGAGTAATTTCTCTGCTCCAGGAAGGCAAGATCTGGGGAGGGACTGCAGCCAGGCAGGGGCATTTCCTCACTGCCACAGAATTCTGCAATTTTGTTTCTTCCTCCCTCCAGTCCCGGCTCAAAACCTCTCCAAAGCCACCCTGTGACACCTCCTGGAGCATCACCAGGGTTCTGCCCTGGGTGAGCACAGGTGAGTCCCAGCTTTGCCCAGTTTAGACCAAGGACACAAATTTTTGCTGTACTTTGAGACATCTGGGGTCCAGAGAGGAGCCCTCTCCTCATCAGAAATGTTCTCCCTGCTGTAGACTCTCCTGCTTTCACTGTTAAAAAGATGAAGAACTGATCATCTCTCTCCAATGCCCACCCACTGCACAGAGCTGCTGTGACCCTCTGCCATCCCTGGGATGCAGCTCTTTGTTTTGGGGAGTTTTGGCTGCTTTGTTTGGATTTTAAACCACCAGCCAATGTGAATTACAGCCTTGGCACATGGGTGGGAGCATTGCATTTTGTATTTTTTTATGTGTTAACAAACATCATTGCTTTATAGAGTGAATTTCTCAGATCACTCACGTGCAGCAATGAGCTGCTCATGAAATAACTCACCCATCTTGCAGGGAGGAATAATCTCCAAGCACTCCTTGTGAGCACCTGCCCCACATTTGGGACAAAGATAGCCCTGGTAGAAGGTTCCTCTGTGCCAAAAGAAAAAGAAATTCAGAAAATCCTAATCCAGCCCCAGCTTTTCTTTCCATGTTTTACTGCAGAACAGCAGGAAGGTTGCTGCTCACCTCAGGAACATCCTGCAGGCTTTGCAGTTGGTTGTCTTTTCAAATGTGTACATCTGGAAGTTGTGGTGATTTGCATTGGCTTTCTCTGGCTTTATGTTGGACCTGAAGGAAAGGACCTGGGGGTTACCAGCCTGTCCCCACAGGACCCTTGGCATTTCAGTCCCACTGGACACCACAGGGACAGACACAAAATCCAGTGTGAAAGGAGATCAGGGCTCGGCTGTGGAGAGAGGATTTTGCCCATTTCCTTCCCCTGGGATAGGAGTCATGGATTTGGCCTGAGTCAATCCCCATCCCAGGCCTTGCTCTGCTCAGGACCAGGTCCTGCAGCACCACCCTCCTTCCTCATCCTCCTCCTGCTCCAGCCTGGTGCTTCCCCGTGGCCCAGCCATGGGTGAGATGTCCTTGCAGAGAATCACAGAAAGGGTTGGGTTGGAAGGGACATTTAAAAACACCTTCCACTATCTCAGGTAGCTCCAAGCCCCGTCCAGCCTGGCCTGGAACACTTCCAGGGACGGGGCAGCCACAGCTTCCCTGGGCACCCCGTGCCAGGGCCTGCCCACCCTCACAGGGAGGATAACTGATTTTATCTCAATTTCAGAGATAAAATCCAGTTTCAGAGATGCTTTGGTGGGGAGGCTGAGAGAACAGTTCCAAGCTCCCTTTGCACAGGGACTCATCCAGCAAGCCCACACGAGCTCCCCCATCTCAGGTTTTGCCAGCAGAGTTTGCTCTTCAGTGACCTGATGGCCCAAGACACTTTTCACCCACACCTGCCAACTGCACCCAGGGCTAGAGCAGCCACTCATGCTCACATGGCCATTTCAAACTGCTCCATCCACTTCCTCTTCATCTCCTCTGTCTTGCAGAAGAACTGGAAGCCCTGTTTTCCCTGGAGGTGGATCAGGTAGAAGCCGTATGACCACTGCAAGAGAAAAGAGAGCTGCTCTCCCAGCAGAACACACCACACTTCCACTCACACCCCCCAGCCACCCCTCTGAGTGCCTGTCCCTGCCCCTTCTGCTGAACCATGGCCAGGGAACAGCAGGGGAGGAGGAAGGAGAGCCCCCTGTTCCTCTAACACACCCCAGTTAATGGTGCCTGAACCCCCCTGGTGCTGTGCACTTGGATCAAACAGCATTTCAGGGTGGCAGATGAGAGAACCCAGATTCTTCTGCTCCACTGGATCCTGCCCAGCCATTCTGTCTGTGGCTGACAGCAAGTGACAGCCCAGGAGGAACATCTGACCTGCCCACTGCACATATGCTCAGCCTGTCTGCTCACCACACTGCACACAAACACACCACAGCCAAGGGGGTGCTCTGCTTACCATTTTTCCGTGGGACTAGAAAGCATAGGAGAGCAAAGTGGAAATAGATTTCATTAAAACACAAAGCCAGCAGCATTCCCTCAGCAGCCAAGTGGCAAAACTGGTTATTCTCCCTCCAGTGTCCCCTATCCCATCTGCACCACAGCTCTTCCCATGGCATGGAGCTGGGTTAAGCTAAAGAGGCTCTGCTGAAACAAGAGCTGGGAGGTTTTTCCTCCATGGCTGCAGAGTGAGCATCAAACCACAGGAAAATTATGTCCCTTCAGTGCTTTGAGTGCCAATTTTGGCAGCCTGGTGTGCAAAGCTGCCTTTCCAGGCTCCTCCACCCTGCAGCTTGTGGGAGAAAGAACATCCTGGACCTTCCCTCCCTCCCTGCCCTCTCCTCCTGCCCATCTGATGTTTGCAGCCTGACACTGGGCCAGAAAGCACAGAGCAGCTTCCTCCCTCCTAATTCCAACCATCCCAGCCTTCTCAGGGCTGTTCTGCCAGGACCCAGGTCAAGGATCCAGCCCATCCCCACATTAATAAACATTTTCCAACACTCTTTAAGGCGGCCCTGAAAGCTGAGCATTTATTTTCCAGCTTTTTTCTATTTTAAAAGGCTAATGGGAACATACTACTCTGAAACAGCTCCAAAATGCTCTCCAGAGCTAATCCTTGGTCTACCTACCTTCTTAATGTCCTTGTTATTCATGGGGTCATCAGTCATCTTGTGGAAGAGCAGCTCAATAATTTCCTTCAACTCATAATTGTATCCTTTCCTCTTGCAGACGATCACCACTTTATCGAATAAAAATAAATACCTGCCCAAAGCGAGCAAATGAACAAGCAACCCATTAAAAAAAATCCAAGGGGAAGGATTTGGAAAGCTCTGAGGAGCTCCCCAGCCAGTGCTGCTCAGAGCTGGAGCTCTGCTGTGATTTCACATCGATGCTGGGTTATGTCAGTGAAATTCCAGGCAGTAATTAAATAAATGAGCTCAAGGGGAATCGTTACAGGAGGGCACATTGAGTTTGGGGCTGTTCTGCTGCCACTCACCTGTCCTGCTTGGTGTGGTTCACTATGGAGCGCACCTTCAGCTCCCCGTCGATCTTCGGCCTCCCAAACTCCTCCAGCTTCACTTGCTGCAGGAAGCAAAGCAGGGCTCAGACACACAGGCAGCTCTGGAATGATGCTTTGGGCAGCTGGAAACCCAGAGCAGTCTGGATTGCACCTCCCCAGCCCCGCCTGAGGCTGCCAAAGCTCACCAAGGGCATGGAGGATGCTCCAAGGAGAGCCTGGACATCCAAACCCCTGGAGCTCCAGCACTGCCACCCCAGGGCAAAGCTCAGCAGTCAAAGCACTTTTGCAAACCCTTCCCCACCTCCAATAAGCTATTCTTCAGAGGTTTCCACAATAATGAAGGATGCTGTCTCTGTTAAAAGTTTATAATTTCCAAATGAAGCCCCCAGACCCAGCACCCCTCCAGGTCTGCACAGCAACGGGGCCGAGTGTTTGACACCTCTGGAGTTTGGAGGATGAGTTTTCCTTAAAATACCTGCCTGAGATTTTTGGGGATTCAGTGCCTTTTTTACATGAGCCTTTCTCCTCCCCTTTCAATTAACCTCTGTCCTCTCAAAAGCAAAAGAAACCCTCTTTTTAAATCGAAGCCAGATAGGCAGCTTGGGGAATTTTTGTGTCCTCCCCACACCAATAATGTGAGAAAAAGCTGGAGAAACATTTTTAGGGTAACACCAAAAAGAGAAGACACCCTCCATCCCAGCCAAAGCAGCTTTGTGATGAAGCATCCACCTCTGGACCATCAGCAAAACATGAGAGTGTCTGAACACACAGGGATCTTTCAGCACATCAGAATAAGTAGCAATTGCCAAAAAAAACCAAATCTGTTAATAACAATCAAATTAAACTGGGTTCAAGAGGATTTTCCAACTTACCAGGTTTTCTATAGAGCTCTGAAATTCACTTATTTTCTTCAAAGTCTCTTTGTCCCTCTTGACTTCATTGATGTACATGGCCAAGTCCTTAAAAAAAAAGGGTGAACAGGTATTTTTATTTCACCAGTATTTTACCCAGGATGTCTCCCTGAATCCCTCAGGAATCTGAGCAGCCTGGGCCAGGTGAGGCTGTTGGTGCTCGCAGCACTGAGCTAGGCAGGTGCTGCAATGTTTTCCATTTCCCAGAAGATGGCAATGCACGAATCCAGCGCAGCACGGTGATCCCAGAGCCTGAATTTGTATCCATCAAAGAGAAGGAACCATCCCTTCCACTGGAACAACTTTTAGAGCAGATTTTCTGTGCCTGTTTGCTTCTTATCTGCCCCCTCCTTGACCTCAACAACAGCTCTTGTCAACTTGGATTAAATCTGAACTGGGAATTTTTAAGACATCCCCCCGGGTCAGAGCTCGCTCAGCTCCCCAGCACAAGAAGGGTTAATCACAGCCCAAAATCACAGATCTACGTGACAATATTTGTAACATCACCATGCCAGGGATGGCAGGTATGGTGATGAGAAATGACAACCAAAAGCCTTCTGAAGGAGGGAAACGCAATCCCAGGGAAACACAATCCCAGGGGAACACAATCCCAGGATCAACCAGACTTGAAGTAACAACGTGCAAATGTTGGCTGTGGAATTTCACTGGGAGCTGCCTTTCCCCCACCATCACTGGGAACTCAGTTCTGCATTCTCAGGCAGATGGTTGGTACCTGCACCAAAAAAAACCCACCACAAATGATTTTTTTGTTTGTTTTTTTTTGTGCAAATCCTGCCCTTGCCTTGCAAAACTAACTACTCGAGCAAAATAAAAGGGAGCTGAATCCCTTTGGGAATGTCACTCCATCCACCCCCCTGCACAGCTCTCGCCCCAGACAGCAGCAATGTCTGCTGCCTGCCAGCACAGCAGACAGAAAGGCTGGACTTGTGATGAAAGACATCACTTGGAAGTTAAGCCTTGGTTTACAGATCAATTAAAACCTCACTGAATGGTTCCCAAAGCCCCCCGAGCCCAGTGTGGTCACAACTGCTCCCACACTCTCCTGGTGATGGGGAGTAGAAGAGAGAAACCTCCCTGATGGTTATCAACATCTTCCTGCAGCAAATGCTGAGTCTGCAGCAGAGCCAGGGCAAATCTACATTTATTTTTCAGCAGTGGTGCTGGGTGATGAGGCCATGAGCAGGGTTTAACTGCTGTCACCAGGTCCAGCGTTCATCTGAGGCCACAGCAGCAGGCTGGGAATGCAACGTCCTTCAAACAACCTCAGCTCTACAGAGAGGCACACAGCAGCTCTGGATGCCTGGGCTGGCAGGGATAATGGCTGGAAAGGTCACCCAACTTATGTAAGTGCCTGGAAATGTAGCACCGTTACAAAAGCTGCAGCTCCGAGGTGGAAAACAAAGTGAGCGCAAGCACAGGGCTGAATCCTGAGGTGCTCTCCAGAGGAAAAACCTGAGTTAATGAGCATCCTCCCATCAGCTTCTGCTGACATTGGATGTGGTGTGAATGTGTACGTGGGGAGACATTTCCTAGTCACAAAACATTTGGATGATTCTACAATTTGATTTTTTTTGTTGTTGCTGATGGTTTCCCCGAGATTCTGGGGGCTCCAGCTAAAAGCTGAAAAAAAACAACTTTAAGGAAAGCAAACTGTTGATGCCAAAAGTCACCAGTTGTCGAAACACATCTTCTCTTTAACAAAATAAAAATTGTGGATTAAAGGATTCCCACCCAGCACCTGGCTACCAGCACACAGGGAACGCTCCACACACGCAGGCTCCCATCACTGCCATCCTCCCTGACTTGCTGATACCTCTGGAGCGCCTCCAAATCCCTCCCAGCAAAAACAAAAGCCAGATCTGGCACAGCCTCTGCACACACAACAGCAATCAGGGAAAAGTTGTGACTTGTCAACAAACCCCAGCTGCCCCCGCTGCCTTGGAGGGGGACAGCAGTGACAAGGATCTGCTGTGAGGCCATCACACCAAATGGCAACCAGTACACACAGGCATGGCCAAAAGGAGCAGACCTTGCCTTCCCTCAGGCTGTTCCTGGATGGCTTTTCCATCCAAAGTTTTGTTTTTCACAGAACAGAGGGATCCTGAGCTCTGCTGCACCCCAAACCCATCACACCCCACTCTCAACCTCCTGTACCTGCATCGCCTCCAGAGCCTCCTTCAGCTGCTGCTTCTCTGGCCGGTCTGAGGAATGGCTGAGCAGCTCCTGAAAAAGTAGAAATTAATATAAATAAAGAGTCTGGATGTGCTAGGAAAGATGCCCAGACCCTGCCTGCACTAGACAGGGTCTGCCTGAGTGTTGGCAGGGTGGTGACAGGGATGTCAGGGTGGCTGCAGGCATTCCAAGGGTGACAGCAGGGATGCCAGGGAGGTGGCAGGGATGCCTGGGAGGTGGCAGGGATGCCTGGGAGGTGGCAGGGATGCAGGGATGCCAGGGATGCAGGGATGCAGGGATGCCAGGGAGGTGGCAGGGATGCAGGGATGCAGGGATGCCAGGGAGGTGGCAGGGATGCAGGGATGCAGGGATGCCAGGGAGGTGGCAGGGATGCAGGGATGCAGGGATGCCAGGGATGCAGGGATGCCAGGGAGGTGGCAGGGATGCCAGGGAGGTGGCAGGGATGCCAGGGAGGTGGCAGGGATGCAGGGATGCAGGGATGGCAGGGATGCCAGGGAGGTGGCAGGGATGCAGGGATGCAGGGATGCCAGGGAGGTGGCAGGGATGCAGGGATGCAGGGATGCAGGGATGCCAGGGAGGTGGCAGGGATGCAGGGATGCAGGGATGCCCAGGCAGGGCAGGCAGCTGTGGCTGCAGGACAGGGAACACACCAAGGGCTGGTGCTTGAGAGATCTGTTACACAGAGTTGATGGGAGGAATTTCACACATAATCAGATTATATGCAAGCTTATTTTATATTCATTAAGTGCTTCTCATGGCTGGCAAGTGCAGAATTACCCTGGGTCACCGTACTTTAGGAGACAGCACAAATATTATGTTGTATTAAGTAGCTCTAGTAATTATTTTATTTGAAGGGGAATAAATATCCCAACCCTTGCTCTGCATTTGGCAATGATTCACCCTCCACTGACAGAGGTGAAAGATGCTACAGCAGAGAGAGAAGTGCCAGTGCTGGAAAACTTACTTTTAACAGGAGATGATACTTCAAAACTCTTTGCATTGGAACCACCAGCAGATCTTGCAATTTGAATTTCCCATCCTGGACCTTCAGTGTGCATTCCTAGGAAGGAGATCAATAAATCAGCAGTGAGAAAAGAACAGCTTCCCACCTAAAAGAAGTCTCCAAAGTCTTGAGAGTGTTTGTTTGACTTCTGTAAACTCAGTTCTGATGCCCACAGACTTAGCTCCTTGCAGCTGCCCAGCCAGGGCTGGGCTCCCACCACAGAGGTTTATCAAGGAATTAATCCCAGGGGCTAATTTACCCTAAATTACAGCCACTGCCATGCAAATGAGCTGCTCCAGCCTAATGAGATGCTGCTCATTAGAGCAGGAATGCTCTCAGAGCTGGGACAATGTCAAATGAAACCCATTTGCCTCAGCCACCTCCTGGCTGGGCCAAGCTAAGGCAGCTGATTTGTGAGGGGCTGGCTCTGAGCACGCAGCCTGTGGCTCTGGAGTCGCTGATGAGCATTAAGTCATTAAGATGAGCTAATTGTGGTCTCAGGAAGTTTTGCCAGCGCTCCGTTCGCCCAGACCCATTTCAGTGATGTGAGGCTGGCTGAGCCCCCTGTGTGACCTGGGCTGCCACAAGGGAGGGACAGACAGCAACAGGATGCTCCAGCCTTGATGTGAGACCCAGAGAGCACATTTTAAACAATTCCTAAGTGCAGTTTTATCCCTGAATTGGGTTTGCACAGGGAATCAAAGCGCGTTTGTGGAAGGAGAGCTAACGTGTACAGACAGCCCGGCAAATTCCCATTAGCATCAAGAGCAGAGCAGGAATTAGAGCTGGGTAAAAACAGCAGCTCAAACAATGCATCCCTTCCGGGGCTCCTTTGATTCCCTTAATATCTGGATCAGCCCCTATTCACACTGAGGAGGCCAGGGCAGGAATTCTGGTGTTTGCCTGGAGACCTGGGACTGCCTCTGACGGTCCCCAATGCTGCTGGTGGCTTTGGAAAAGCAGGTGGGGATGCTTTGGGGATGCTCAGGGCCTGCACAACTCAAAGAACTTGTCCCAGCCAGTCCCACTCAAATAAAGCCACTGGTTTGTTTTAACATGGATAAACTCGGGTAGGAAGGACAGAGCATAGGTCTGGTGAGGAGATAAGGGGAAAACAAAGGGATCAGGACAGGACAACTCCAGCTTTGCTCCCTCTGTGGCAGCACAGACACAGTCACACCCTTCTTCTCTTCTGCTAAATCAAACATTCCCCAGACACCATTCCCAGCTGCAGCAAGTCCTTCCCAAAGCTGTGACAAGGGGGTGGGGGGCAGCACCCAGCCCCTGCCCGCTCACCTCCACCTTCTGCCGCACGTCCTCCCGGCTGGCCAGGAGGTGGTTCAGGGTGTTCTGGGCATATTCCATGTGGCTGCAGTACTTGCCATAAATCAGCAGCCTGGAGAGGGGGAAATCACAGATTTAACTGGAAAGGCTGGCAGTTACAAGCGGTTATAAAAGATATATAAATGTGTGTACAGCAAAAGGACGAGGCAAACAGCGATTCCCCCACTTAACTGCTTAGCAAAGTATAAACACTCGTTGACTGTGTGGCTTCTTGACATTTAAATTTTCAATATTTTAACATTTAGAAGTTTCCAGGGCACATGGAGGTGATTCAGCTCCTGATGAGCAGAAGGGGCTGGGTGGCAGAAGCAGAAGAGCCTGTTGTTGGAGGGTTAGATGAGATATCAGGATGAAATTTTTCCTTTTGAGGGTGGTGAGGAACTGTCAGAAGTTGTCCAGAGAATTTGTGGCAGACCCTGGAAGTATCCAAGGCCAGGCTGGATGGGACTTGGAGCAACCTGAGATAGTGGAAGGTGTCCCTGCCAAATGGGATGAATTTTAAGTTCCCTTCCAACCCGAACCATTCAGTGATTCTGTGATGAATCTATGTCACATTTTAGAATCATTCCTTCTTGAAAGAGCCACAGGGACCTAGAGATCAAGATTAATTGGGAAAAGAATGTTGTCAGAGCTTTTGGAAACACAGTGAAGCTCTGTATGGACACCCTGGGTTATAAATTTAAACACTGACAAAAGAGGGCAGTTTTGTCATGGATTCCCCCTTTTCCCTCACTTCCCTCATTAATCCTGCCTGACAGGTTTGGGTTTTCTCCCCCTTCCTGGCCATTAACTATTCTGCTGCTGATAAGACACATCTTCCATCACAAACTCCAACCCATCCATTATTTGGAGGCCTCATCTCTCGATGGAGATGACCTGGGAACCACTGACCCAGCGCTGCTCCATAAATATGGGACATTCACACACCATAGGGAAGGGAATAAAGAGATTTATGGAGCCACAGCCCCAGCAGAGCCACAGCCAATAGAGATTATTCTTCTACCTTTTCCTCCTGACAACTTCTGCACAGGCACAATAATATCTACCTTGCCAGCACGGGGAGAGCTTCAAAAAGGCTTCAGGAGCATAAATTCAAACCTCTGGCTTCCAGAGAAAGAGATTTACAAACTATTTCCTTAAAAAAGGCCCCTGCAAAGCCAAGGAGCAATGAATCATTTTGCCAGAATGTCTCCAGGTCTGTGGAGGGAAGCAGGAATTATTTGTCATGGATAGATTTGATGGAGGAAGGTCCCAAGCAGGGACTCTTGGAGGTCCATGCTCCTCTCTTGGTGGGGCAACCCTGTCTTCCCAGCGAGTTCACTTTCTCCTCCTCCTGTACTGGAATTCCCTTGATGTAAAATGTGGAATTCCTGATATAGGAAAGGACTCTGCCTATTTACATCAGTTTGCTCCAAACCCTTCATCCCAAACAATCTGGTTTTAGGGACTTCTCCAAGGCAAAACCCTCCTTGAGCAGCAGTTTCCTACAGCACTGATGTCCCCAAAATCCCCACGGACTGAAGAGAGCTTCAGATCCACCATCTCCACCTCACAGCTGGTTTGGCTCCTTCCCTCACATCTTTCCAAGGGAAGTTGTTTGCAAGCTCCCTTAGGAAAGGGGTCAGCTGGTTCACCCATCCGCACGGAACTCACCAGCTCCAAGCATTCTGCCAGCTCCCACCAGCACATTAACAGAAGAAAACATTGATTTAATGACTCAAAACCAAGCCTCGTGCTCCTGCACAGCCACAGCATCTCCCTGTCAGTGTCACCTTCAGAACTCCTCCCCTGTCCCCTCCCTGCTCCCTGTGTCCCCAGCTCTGCCCCAGGGATGGCACTGGCATGCATGGAGCTGAGCCAGGAATTAGGAGATCAGAATCACCTAAGTGAGTTTGATGAGGATTTTGAAATTATTTGCATTCTTCTTTGGAATATTTTTTTTTTTAATTTAATCCAGAAAATAAATGCCCTTTGTAACAAGAGGCCCCATGAATGATGGAAGATGTGACCTCACGGTGTGTTATTAATGCAGATGGTATTTCTGGAGTTATTGACTTCTGAATGGCATTTCTGTGTCTAGACACTGGTTTAATCACAGTGAAATAACAGCCTGGCACCATTCCACAATGAAATCACCCTTTGATTAGTACTAAGGATATTAAAGGCTTTTATCAACCTTATCTCTGTGCGCTGGGGTGCTCCTGCTTGCAGCTGCCAAAACTCAGGATTGATTCTGTTTGTGAAAGAAACTTTTACATTTATTCATCGTGCACAAGGTGCAGGATGAGCTCTGTGCCAAATATGAGATTCTTTGAGAGTGAGGAATCACTTTGATCTAAGCAGGGCCGAATTTCCCCTGCACAGGAGTCACCACATCACAGCCCTGAAGGGCACTGAGGTTTTACTCCATTCCAGCTCACCACAACACAAACGTTCCCATCTTCATCCCCTCACATGTCCCCCACAAACACATTGGATATTCAGTCTCCCACGGGAAGCTGAGCTCAAGGAGAATCCAGGTGCAGCCAGGGGCTTGCAGGAGCCAGGACCCAAGGGAGCCACCCCACTGAGCCTGGTGGGTCACAGGCAGCCCCTGCCCTGCCTGGCCTGGCAGCTGTGGCTGGATTTGGCTGCTTCATGTCAGCACTGAGTGATGGTGCAGCTGCCTGAGAGCATTTTGCTGTGGAGGAATCAAACCTGGGCTTCTGTCAAAGGCATTTCTGGAAACACAGAATCATTAAGGTGGGAAAAGACCTCTGAGTCCAGCCATTAACCCAGCACTTCCACTAAACCATGTCCCTGAGCACCACAGCCACACGATTTTTGGACACTTCCAGGAGTTGTGACCCCAGCACTTCCCTGGACAGCCTGTTTCAGTGCTTGACAGCCCTTCCAGTGAAGAAATTTTCACTAATATCCATTCTAAACCTCCCCTGGTGGAACTTGAGGCCATTTCCTCTTTTCCTGTTGTTATTTGGGAGAAAAGACAGATCCCCACCTGGCTCCAACCTCCTTTCTGGCAGTAGTAGAGAGTGGAAAGGCAGAGAGTAACAAAAACTCTGTTTAAATCTCCAAAAATATTAACCCAAATCTGTTGAAACTGGAGCTGCCTGAAGCCCAGAATTCCTTTACCTCTCTTTGAATTCCAGGAACACTTTTGCCAGGCTGCTCCCTCCAGACATCATCGAGACATCGATGGCTCTCAGGAAACTGAAGTGCACTTTAATTAGGTCCTAAAACCAAGCAACAGTCAATATTTTAAACACATTCAAAGCAGGTGGGCAAACAGAGCCTAAAGAAATGCACCTTCACTCCTTCATCAGGCAGGGCTTTTCCCTCTTTTCGGTGTTTTTAAAGGAAGTTGTTCTAGTGGGATGCAGCCCTGACTGGTCTGGAGGACAGGGGTGTAGTTCCATCTGAGGTTAAACTGTGAGAAATGCCCAGGATGGGGAGGGAGGAGGAGATGGGATGGAAGGAGTGGAGGAGATGACAGGTTTTGACCTAGACCCTTGCAAACCAGAGTAGAAATAAATCCCTTCATCATCCAAATCATCTAAATCAGCTAAAATCCAGAGGCCCAGCCCTGAAACATCCACTAGACAGAACTGTTTTCTTACCTAGATTTCACATATTCCTCACCTTTAAAACTGAGTGTTAAAGAATGTCTCCTAAACTAGTTTAAGCTCCACAGCACATGAAAGGCTGAAGCTCTCCAAGTGAATGCACAAATCTAACAGGAAATCAGAAAACCTCCTCCTAAGCAGGGAGAGGGCTGAGCTGCTGTGAAAAGAACAAAGATTAAAGGCACAATGCCCACGATGTTACCTCCAAATTGATAAAAATAGCTTCCATGTCCTGGGGAGTCAGTACCAGTCTCAGAGGGTTCATATAGTTCTGCAGGAGAGAAATGGAAATGGGATTGAGGCACTGGAGAGGAGAGAACGAGGTTGTGCAAGTGATTTATATTTTCTGCTTCGCCAGTTGAGTTTACCTGGGCAGGTTTTAATGAGTTTAAGCACATGCAGAGGATGACCAGGGATAGAAGTGGGAGGCAGGAATTCCTGTGAATGCCTCATCCCTGAGCTCCCACAGCATTTCCAGGGGTGGGAAGGTGCAAGACCCCCACCTATGGGTGCCCACAGCCCCCTCCCCTGCTAAACCTGCTGCAGGGGGGTGAAATGCACTCAGCTCCTTCACCTCTCTTTGGCTGCACTGAAGCATCTTCCCAGCTCTTGATCTCCCTGGAATTTTGCCCTTGAGAAGGCAGTGATAATGTGATTACATGGGCAATGCCTTTCTGTACAAATTCATATTAACAGGAACATCTATCTGACTTGGGACTCCAAAAAAACCCCAAATACAACACACCCAAGAGGGGGAACTCCCACCCATCAACACCACCAGGACCTGCAAAGCCTTTGCAAGCTTTAATTGATATGAAAGCAATAATTTAACTCTTCCTTTCTACTGAACCAGAGGGCTGTGGCTGTTTCCAAGGAACGAGGGTTCCTTGGAAACATAAATGACAAATATATTGGGACATTTTCCCGGAAAATGGGAAACATTCTTCCATTTATCCAGTTTTGCTCACAGCTTCAGCAGACAGAGGGAAAGAATGGCAGAAGGGGAGGAAACAAAAGCATCAAGGGTGATCAGAAATGGCAGCTTGATTTTCATTATTGTTCTTCCCTCCTGCTGCTTTCCTCGGAGCAGGAATCACCTCCAGCCTCCATCCACGACTCCACTGGCTCGCTGAGGTGTTCTCTTTTATTTGTTTCCAAAAGGAAGGCACCACAATAATTCATCAAATCCAATTAAAACCCCGCAAATTTAGGCAGCAGAATGTTCCTTTTAATCCAATTAGCTTCAATGGCAAGTCAGCATTGCTTCAGCACTTGGAATAAAGGAATTATTCGGTGGCAATCAGAGTGATAAGAGATATCTGCAAACATGGCTCTTATCAGCAAACCCGGCCTGGCTGAGCGAGGAGTGGGAGATTCTCACCCCAGGACAGGGGGACACAGCAGGAGGATTTTCAGCCTGGTTCTAATCTACAGCAATCAGAAAAAGAAGATGCTGCTTTTGGCTCTTTCAGGCTGCACATTTGTGCTTGTCAGCCTGGGTTTTGTGGATCCCCCTCCTCTCCTGTCTTCCTCCATCCTGCCTCCTCACATCTGCCAGCCCAGGGAGCAAAAACCAGCCCAGCACAATTCATGTGGGATCCAGGGCTGCTGGGGAAAACAGGGCTCAGTTCTCACCTTTTCTATATCTTCAAGTGTTTTGTAGTATTTGGCCTCAGTTTCTTGGATTTCTAGCAAGCAACAATTCCTTTTGTCATCTTCTGTCATTCCCATTTTCTAGGGAAAGGAAAAATAAGGCCTGGTCAGGTGGTTCTAAGGGTGGTCCAGCAACCTGGTGGGGCTCCAGTTCAGTCCTCACTTACAGCAACCCAGCACAAGTTTGGAAAGCCAGGAGAGAACCACTACTGCCTTATGCTAAAGGGAGCTATTTTTATCCAAAAATATAAGGAGGAACCCTGGCTGTGTTATTAAATATGTTTCAACATGGGAAACACTGCATTTTTTGCATTTGTTACAGCCACACCTCCAAAGACACTCACTTGAAGAATAATAATAAGAGATAAAGGCTGATTTTTCCCTTTTTAAATTTTTTTGTTGCTGTTGCTTAAGATGACACAACAGATTCTGAGTGGGTCACAAATAATATGTTAGATTTATAGAAATCCCTGGCCAGGGTTGCCAGTTCTGATGATTTTAAGTAAAATCCGATAAAATGTGCTTTTTCCAAAGCCCCAGCTCTTGGGAATCACTTCTGCTCTGTAAAGCTGGGACCACGTGCTGGGAGCTGCTGCACTTGGCAGGGCAGAATCTGAATTTGGGAGGGAGTTCAGTGATGGGGTTTTATGGATCATGCACAGGAACAGAGCCCCTCTGTCCAGCCCCTCACAACTCACAGCTGGGAGCTGCCAGGTGCTTGAAACCCCAGATTTTAATCAATTCATCTTACCTGCATGTATCTAATCTGAAGCATGCAGAAATACAAGAAGCCATTAGCATCACACACTTGCTGTTGCAACAAATGTTACCCAGAAAGTTCAGGTTTTTGGCAGATATATTAAAAATAGACTCTTTTGCTCAGGGAAGGGAAAGGGCAGCTCTCAACTCCAACACTGCTCAGCAGAAAACATAAAATGGTGTGGAGATGACAGTGAAAAACTGCCAGTTCCACTGACCTTAATCCTATATTACCTGGCTGCTGGAGCTTCCCCCATTTTCCCCGTTTATGCAAAAAGTTCCTATCAAAACCTTCCCCAGGGGCAGTTCTTGGGCCAAGTGGCTTCTGCAACTGGTGGCAAAAGCCACTGGTGGGCAATGAGCTGTGCTGACTCCAGATCCAAGCACTTTGGCAGGATCAGTAGGAATATTTTGGGCCCAACTCCTTGATCCAGAGGGGGTTTTGGTGTGCAGGGAGCTCCTCCAGCTGCAGACACGGTGTGAAGGGATGGAATTAGGGTTTTATTATCTTTGTCCCAATCCCAGCCAAGCTGGGAGAGGGGAGGAATCAGAGCACAGCCATCCATGGATGCAGCCCTGCATCCCCAGGCTCAGCCACGTCCTGCCCCAGGGATCTAATTGATCACTGAACTTGTCCATTGATCCTGCTTTGTTCCAGGGAGGTGTGTGCTGTGTGAACTAGAGGAGAGTAATTAGAGTCTGAACAAAGCCTGGGGGAGGCAGATACTGGAGCAGGGGAGAAAATTTGGAAGGTCACAGTCTGGAGAAGCTCCCTTCCAGCCCTACATCAGTGCTGGGGACACAGGTAGGGCTGTGGGCGCCTTTGGGGGGTGCAAGAGCCACCAGCACCTCCCTGGCTCATCCATGGAGTGTGATACTTGCTTCAGAGCCCTTGGAGACATCACAAGTCCCTCCACGATGCTGTCCATGCCTCACAACCAGGCTTCTCCATCAGCAAAAGCTTTCCAGGGGTGACAAACAGGGATAGCTGCTTGTCCCTAACACCACTCAGGTCCCTGCTGCCCCAGAAAGCTCCAGTGTAAAGATCTTCCTGCTCTGAGCTGTCCAGGAAGGAGCAGCAGGCACAGACAGCTGCTGGATCCCTCACACACAGATCTGTCACCCTGACCTAAAAATACCGGTGGCACCTCTGGCTGACAGAGCAGGCGTGACACAGCCTCAGCAGCAAAGTCCTATTTTTAGCTTATCTTTTAGGGCTTATTAGGTCTCCCTTCCCCTTCCTCCTCCCCAAACTCCTGCAGATGACAGGCTGGGCTGGGAAACTCCTCAGAGAGCCCCTCTGGGCTGGTGCCATCCCCCTGCACTTCTTCTTTCTTAGCGCTCGGTTTCGAGGAGCGACTCGAAGCAATTCCCTTCCCTGCAGCATCACCTACCAGTGGCAGGGAGTTATTTCCTTCCTGGAATCCCCTCCCTCCCCCTCCCACCGCGGTGTAGCTGGAAAAACGCAGCTGAGTTGTTACCATGGGCTGCTGAACTTCCACTCTGATGATATCCTCGTAGATATCATCACCCTCATCCTCACAGGGGACGCAGTCGTAGATGTCCTCCCCCAGATCGTGCTCACTGCAACGAGAAGGAGAAGGGATAATAACGAGGGGATGTTCACCATCACTTCAGCAGGCACTGAGGAGGAAGGAGAATCACAATGAGAAAATTCTGTGAGAATCCATGCTCTCTGTTTTTCCCGGATCACTGCCTGCTGCGCATTTCTTTCCGCTCGCTGGAGGCTGGAAAAGGTGGAACGCTGCTCAGCACGAGCAGGGATCACAGCCAAGGATTGCTCTGTGCCCTGTGCCAGGCATGCCCACGATGCCCTACACACCACCCTGGGCTGCCAGCCCTGCCCTGCAGAGCTCTTGCTCGGCACTAATGGGCCCAGCTGAGATGGATCTGCCAGCCAAGCACCCAGCGGGACCATCTGAGCCACCAGAGCCAACAGCTCCAGCTCCAGCTGCTCCAAAGGTGCCCACAATCTCCCCTCCAGCTCCCCTTCAGGACCAGGAGCAGCTCTTGCATCAGTGACTTCATCTCATGCTCAGAGAATTCACTTTAAGGCTTGGATTTTGGTCTGCTTAAGGCTCAGGGTTTGCTCTTGATCTGATGTTGCTTTTCCTCACTGAAAAGTTTCCTTTGGGCCAAAAACCCATCCCCTTGCCCCAGCCAGGGGTGCAAACTACTGTGGGAGCCCAGATCCACTCAAAGCAGGAGCAGATTTTAAACACTCACCCAAAGTCTCTGAGCAGTAGGAGAAGCATCCCAGTCCTGATGAAACAATACCCCCGGGCTGTGCAGGACCCACAGCAAAGCCTGGACCCAGCCCTGGGCATTCCATCCAGCTTTAAATGCTCTGCATTAAATGCATCTCCAGTTATCTGAGTGAGGCACCAACTCCCACAGAGCCCGATCCCTGCTCTGATGGGCAGCTGGGTGATTTTTAATCCAGAGGATTTCCCAGAGGAGTAGGAGGCTCTCCTGGCCACCGTAAGGCAATCTCATCAGACACTCAGCTCAGTGGGCAGAGGCCAATAACAACATTTACAGCAGAGAGAAACTAAGCAGCAAAATGCCACATTTTGAGGACCAGCCCCGTCACTTTTGAGCTGCCCCTGCACTTCCAGGATTCAAAGGCATCCCAGAGCTGTGGTGCCCAGGTTGTGCTAAAGGTGATGGTGTTCAGTAATTAATTATCATCTGAGCCTTCACACCCCTCCCAGGGGCTCCTCAGCCTTGGAACACTTTTGAAAATTCAGCCCATATTAAATACCAATTAACAATAATAATTCCAGTGCTTAGATCTACAGGTGCTGGCTGCTAACAGCTCCCACTGAAGTGAATCCCACAGGATCAGGACAGTGTGAAATGCTGGAATATCAAACAGCATCTGCATATTTTACGAGCTGTGTGGGGTATTAATTGCATACAAATAAATTTAGGTGTAAAGCTGTGCTCCAAGTGTGACACTCAACATCTCTCTATTACATATCAGGGAGCAGCAGAGAACATCTGCCCGCAAAACCGGGCTTTATTTCTCTGCTTAAATACAGCCCTGTCTATTTACACAAACAGATTTATTTAATAAAAGTTTGGTGATTTTAAATAAATACACTGGCATGATGTATCCATCCCATTCTTCCTGGGTGATGCATTGCAGCTGCTGCAATAATGCCCACTAATAGCTGGTGATCCATCTTCCCCCTCCCAGGCGTCGCTGTTATTATCTGCACCAATATTTATATTCTCATCCAGAGCCAGACACTCCCAGCTCCTGATGAATCTCCCTGCCCACACCTCTTGGGTTGCTGGCTGTCTCTCTATACATCATTTCCCTGGCTGGAGGGCTCTTGGGAACGTGTGGTTGGGTTGGTGTCACCAGCAGGAGCTCAGCTGGCTTTGATGTGACCAAGAGAGGGCTGGGGTGATGCTGATGGAGCAGGGCCTGCTTGCAGTGAGGGATCCCCATCCCTGGAAGAGCTTGGGAACTGCTTTGGGATACGTGCAGAGGAGAAGATGGCATCCTGAAGTGTCCCTGAGCATCACTTGGAACTGCTCTCCCACACAAGCAGGTGCCACATGCTCAGAGCCTGGCAGGGCCTGTCCCCAGCCTGGTGCTGCTGTTCCCAGCCTGGACAAATTCTCCTTTTCTCCCTCTCCAAGAAGCCACGAGCTCTGGAGCATGGTGGGCAGACACTGGGAGAAGCCCAGGTGGCAGCACGTGATGCTGAAGGGGCTTTCACAGAATCATCAGGGTTGGGAGAGGCCTTCAAGAACATCTGCTTCAACCTGAACCCAGCACCACCACAATCACCCCTAAAGCCACGTCCTCAGGTGGGTTTTGCTCAGTCTCAGGCTGAGACTGGAGAAGGTTGGATGCCCCAAGGCCTGGACCCACCTGGACCACCAGGAAAGAAATGTCTCCCAGCAGATTTGCCCACAGAAATGCCAACAGCCCTTGGGCACAAACGCCGCACCCACCACGTGGGACCACATCCTGACAGCACCTCACAGCTCCCATTCCTCTAATGAGGGGCTGAGCCTCACTGCTCCACTCCTTCCTGACAAGCCCTTCTCTGTTCCAGTTTCTGGAGTGGGGGAAAAAAAATAGGAACTATTCCTACATCCTGGGGACACCTAGAAAGACACCTCCACTCCAGAGCTCTGGGGAGAAGCACCAGAGCTCCTTAAACCCTACATGGCAGTATTACAACATCACTGTCATCCAGCATTCTGGTGTTTATTCAAACACATTCTCAGTGCATCTCTGAGGAACACCAGAGGCTGCCAGTTTTTATGGAGAGCAGTAAACCACGAGGATCAGCCTCTCCTGGAGCAGCCCAGGAGCAGCCAAGCTCCCATGGCGCTGTACGGATGTTGACATCTCTGCTTTGCACACACTGATCCTCACCTGTCCCCACACTGTTGAAAATACACAGCCTCCCTGCCTTAAAACAGGGATTGGAATGATTTTAGCCAGTGAAAACCTCAGGACACACTGAATTCAGGTGATAAATTCAGCATCCCAAGCATGTCATGGGCAGATGGAACAACTTCAGCAAGGAAAGCCAGATCACCTCGTTCCTCACAAAGAAAACCAATTTACTCCTTCAATAAAAGCAGCAGAGTCTGTGAGTTACCCGTGGGTATCAGAGCCCACGATCTACTGCTCGGATTAGGAGATTCATTGACAGCTCTGGGGTTAGGAAAGGGATTTTAGCTGCCCTTCAGAGTGAACACCAGCATTTGCAATTACTGTTATTGGGATGGATGTCACCAGCTTTGGGCTGGCAGCATCTTGCCAAGCCAGAAAAGCTGATAATGAATAAAGCTTTTCATATCTAAGGCAATTTCAGGCAAAAACAATGCTTTTGGCTGAGCTCTGCCTCACTGGCCATGCTCTGCACTAACACCCACCTGGTCAGGCAGGAGCCGTGCCAAGGAGCAGCTCCCAGAACACAGGGACTGGTGCCAGGATGCTGCCTTGGAGCGAGGGAAAGGGAAGCAGCAAGTCCATGGAATCACAGAATGGCTGGGCTTGGAAGGGATGATGGGCACAGACAGTCTGTGATGCCTGATAAATGGCATGCAGCAGATCCACCATGCTGAAGGAACTCTGCACACCATCTTTGCAATGACACTGGGGGTAAGTGGGAAAGCTCTGATGGATTTCAGGGCCACTGAAGAGCCTCTCCACCCATAAAAGCTGCTGTGGGAAGCTGATGAGTTTGTACCAGCCTCAAGAATTCAAGGACAAACCCTCATGACAAACCCACCACACCAAAACTCTGTCCAAACCACCCTGAGGAAAGAGCCAGAACCGCCAGGAACAGCAAAAGAAGGAGCAGGAGGGGACAGAAGGAGCTAAAATAAGACAACTAAGAGACGGCCTCAAATTTCCAGTCCTGTCACCAGAGTTAAGAGCCAGAAGATTTCAGAGCCACCACAGGCCCAGGCTGGGATGCATTTGCAGGGTCTCTGCCCAGCAGCTGTGAGGCTCCAGTCTGTCCCAGTAATCCCCAATTTCTCATTCTCCCTCTGCACTCACAGCTATAAATACAGTTCCTCCAACCAGCCCCCTCATTCTGCCAGAGAGGACAAGCAGAACCCTAAATTTGCAGCACATCTGGCAGGCTTAGGTTTCAGGGTGAGGGAGTGCAAGATGTGCAGCCACAGGACTGGAGATCTTGCAGGGTTTTAATTACTCAGATTGGACTTGGATGGAGACACTCATCTGGAAAGAGCAGAATCCTTTTCCCGTCTATTCTGCTTGGGTCTTACATTCCCCATTCCGAGTGGAATATTCTGATCCCAAGAAAAAGCCTCTCACAGTTACAGCCACCAGTATGATCCTAGAAATCATACTGCAAAAATATGATGTGTAAAAATCAATATGAGTGACACAGAAGGACAGACACCTGCACCACAGGGCCATTTATTTGAGGGGCTGTTGTGCCTGGTTTGTCCAACACTGCAAAAATAATGAGAAAAGTGGCAGCTAACTTATCATCTCACCTTGGCTCCTGAGCTTGTTACTTTTATTAATGCATTTGAGAAATTCTGCTGATCACAGCACTATTTTGGAATATGTGAGGGGGGCAATGCTGGTGACAGAGTAGTGAGAGAAGCAGGAGAAACTCCAGCAAGAAACTGAGCCCATAAGAGGCATCACTTGAGAAACTGTGGCCTAGCAGATCTCCTTCCCCCCTTTTGAGGAGGGAAAGTTTGGGAATACACAATTATCCCAGTAAATTTGTCAGGGACAAATTCTCAGTGAGCTGCAGCTCAAAACAAGAGCAGGGGATATTGACATCAACCTGTGAGACAAAGCTCTCCAAGCGTAGGGTTTGGTGGGGACCTGCTCTGCCCAAAACACTTATTTGGTCCTTTATGCAACTACAACTCCTCAAAAAAAAAGAGAAAACAAAGGTAAAAAGTTATGCAAATTAAATGTTTCACATCAAACCATTCACAGAACTTCTGCCTGACTCTGAACTCTTCAAATAGCCAACAAATAACCCAAAATCTGCCCTGTGTAATCTACCTAATTGTGTCACTGCAGAGGGACAGTGCCATGAAGTGGAGAAGGTTCATCATAAAGAAGGCTCTGGGGATATAAAGAGGGCCAGGATTAATCACTCTTATAAATTTAATGAGACAAAATAACTGGAGAGAGCCCAAGTGGCAGCGGAGAAAATTCAGGTGAAACGTTAAGTATAACTCTGAGGTACCAGGGTGGTTTGGAGCAGCTGAAAGAGCCATAAAGGGGGATGGAAAAGCAGTTGGCAGGGCAGTAAGGTGGATAATTGCCTCCTGACATCAGTTCCCAGCAGCCACAGCCATGTGGGAAGCAGCAGCTCCCGTCCCTGGGGATCTGCAGGAGCATCCTCAGGACAAGGGTCACTGATCTACCCCTGACATGGGGGCACAGGCTCCAGAGGATGAACCCACACGCTGCTGGCTGCAACACCCAGCTCATTTCATGGACAAACTCCCCCCAAACCGGCTGCTCCAGGGTCTGGCATGGAGCAGGCTGGAATAAATCAGGCAGCAGAGGCCAATTGTGCCTTTACTGCTCCTCACAGCATTGATCAGGCACCACGTGCAATGCGAGCAGCCCTTGCCATCTGCCCAGGCTGGCTGCAAGCTGCCATCTGGCCCAGGACACAGCAAACCGAGGGGCCAGAGGGCTGAAAACAGGGAATTTGAGAACTTCCCAGCTCCCCTGATAGCCTTTTAGCTTCCCTTCCCCTTTCCAGCACCAATTGTTTGAGACCTTTTTAGAACTAAATAGCTGTTTCCAGGCAATTATGTTCCTTGATCTGCTGGCTGAGGATCTGTCTGGAGCTGGAATTAATCCCTACAACATCCCAAAGGTGAAATCACAATGGGGTCATCAAGGCTTAAACATCCTTTAAACACACCAGCACCCCATGATTGCACACCCAGCTTCTTCCTGCATCCCCTGTCCAGCCCTGGCACTGGTTTTTGTCCCACAGCTCCTCTGTGCTGAAAGAGTTCCCAGGATAAAGGTTCTCACTCTTTAGAACATCATGGGGACAACAGGGACAAAGCCTGGTTCCTTCTGCCCCCGAAATCAACACCTCCTTCACAAATATGTTCACATTTTAAAGGCTCTGCAGCACAGGAATTCAAAATCTCAACCTGGGGACACCAAACTGCTCCACTTAAGTACCTGCAGTTGGAACGAAGCATTCTGACAGTCTCCAAAAAAAACCTCATTTACCAGCCCCCAAAAAACTCAGTGTTTATCCTGAGCTCTTTCTCCAACAGCACAATACCCAAAGAAAGCTCCTTTTGAGGGATTCCTCCCTCCCAGGGTGAACTGGTGGCACAGAGCCCACCAGGATTGTCCCTCCACACCCACCCTTGTCCCTCTGAGGCCTGTGGGGACAGCAGAGTGGCACCTTGAGGTGACAAATCCCCGCAGGTTTTACAGGCAGGGCTGGAGCAGCTCCTTCCACACGCTGGGTCATTTCCCTCCCTGCCTGCTGTGGAAATCACTTCCTTGCCTCCAAAAAAGCATTTTGGCTGCAGCCACCTCTTGCCGAGGCTGCTGGATCATCAGCAATGTTAAAGGCAGAGATGCTGGATGGACTGAATCATTCCCAGCAGTGAATGCTGCCCTTGTTGAGCTGTTTGGAGAGGGCAGGAGATAAGAAAGAGCTTTCTCATTAGTGCCACAGGCTGCCAGTGCCTGGCAGCAGGGCCCGGGGCACACCACTGGGACTGGCACATTTCCAGACAGAATTCCCTGGTCCATGGGAGGAAGGGCAGCAGAAGCAGCAGGACTCATGCTGAGGGGTTCTCCAGGGTGTTTTGGGGGATTTTAGAGCTATGGGTGAATTCTGACACCGTTTTGTAGGCCGTGTTTCCGTGCACTGGGAGGGCAGGCCTGGCTGGAGGAATTTGTGCAATCCCTGCTGATTTCAACGTGCCTTTCCCTCACCAGTCCTAAATCAGGTGTAAAAAAGAGGATTTTACAGAGAATGGGAAAACAGGGAAAGTTAAATGTTGGATATCTGGGACGGAACAGGGAAATCAGTTGAAATAAACCTCCAGGTTTTCTGATGGCCTAGGCCAGCACTGCCATCCTCACCAGCACTCTCGTGAGAGCCCCCACACAAACCCCTCTCCAATTAAAACCACACCTGTGTGTGAGAAACAGGAATTTTAAACCCCAATACTAAAGGGATTTTGAGAACTTTTGGAGAGGGGGCACAAAAAATGCTATTCTTGAAAGGATCCCTTTCTTAGTTAAAATTTTATTAAGCTGCAGCTGCTGGGAGCCAACAGCAAGCAGGGAATTCCAGGGTACTCCATTCCTTCTGCTGGTAATTTATGATTTACTTGTGTAATAACTGAAGCCATAAGGAACTCATTGGATTAAGGAGTCTTATTATTTATGTTGTGGAACAATAATATTTAACTGCATAAAGCCACATACCCACTCATGCAGTCCATCCCTCTGTATGTAGCAGACTGCATTTCATAAGCAAAACCCTGGATTGATGGGAATGCTGCCATTGAATTCCAATAGTGCCTGCACTTCACCGTGTGTGTTGTAGTTCAAGGTTGATTTTAAAAGCCTTTTCCATCATCACCACAGGCAGAAAAACCAGATAAACACAGACAGAGACAGCAGCAGCATCACCCCACGTCCCACCACGGACAAGCAGGGTGGGTGTCACGGCAGGACGTGGCTGCCAGAATCCTGGAAGTGTCCAAGGCCAGCTTGGATGGGCTTGGAGCAACGTGGGATAGTCAAAAGTGTCCCTGCACATTGCAAAGGGGTGGAATGAAATGGTCTTTAAAGTCCTTTTTAACTCGAACTGTTCTCTGATTGCCCCAGGGCCTGCTGGTATGGTCCAAAATCAGACATGGGGGATGCAGCTCCATGTGCCAGATCCCAAAAAATGCCATGGGGGGAAGCAGCTCTGTTCACAATGGGCACCTCATGCCCAGAGCCAGCTTGGATCACCTCAGAAGATGAATTATGTCCCAGGATTTTGGGATTTAGGAGGAGGAGGGTATCCCCTGTGCTTGGCCCCTTTCACCCCCCATCCAGCCACTCATCAACTCAACCTGATTAGAAGTGACACCACCCAGGGTTTTACATGAGAAAAAGATGGACTTTTGTCAGAACACAAAAATCTCCTGGCCAAAGGATCAAAGCAGCTGTCCTGGCTCTCCCAGCCCTGCTGTCAAACTTTATCTGCCTTTGCTGGAAACCCACGGCAGCTTTTCCCCTCCCAGGAGAAGGTGAGGCCACTCACTCCGCCAGCTCCTCCAAGCTCCGGTACACGTCATCATCATTTTCCGTGGTCTCCTCTGAAGGGAAGGGCCTGGGAAGGAAAGGAATGACAGGGTTATGTTGGTGCCTCACCCCTCACAGCAGAGCCCCTGAAGTCAGCCCAGCCCTGAGCAGCACAAGATATTCACTGTAAATCCATTTTTGTTCTGGAATGGCACCATCTCTGCTGCTTCCCGAGGGCAGAGCTGGCAGGGCAAGACAAGAATCCAGGTGGGGAGGCTGGCTGAGCACACAGGGCAGCACTTGGGCACCAATATGAGAAGCTGCATGGTCTGACAGCCCCTCAGAGCCCCCGTGGCTGAGCCCTTCCTGCTGAGCTGGTGCTGCACAAACAACTCAGGAATCTGAATTCCAGCCTGGTGCTGGATTTGTTGGGATAGAAAAAAATCTCCTCCTGCAGTGATGGAGCCTTTCTACCTGTGAGCTCCTTCCCTGCTCAGCCAGGCAGGGCTGGGCACTCTGCACTGCTTCCCACTGGCACCTCCCAGCAATCCCACTGGAATTAATGAGTCCTTATGAACCCCAGGCTTCCTCATCTGAACAACTCTGTGACAGCTGAAAAAAGTTAAACCCCTGGAGAAGAGGCAAAGGACACAAAAAGGGCAGAAAGAAAGGAGGGGTGAAAGCAGATTAAAGGAGTGAGGAAGGGACTGGGGGGAATACAAGAATTCCTTGGCTCATTCTGAAGCAATAACCAAATAATCTATGGGGGAGATGAAAAATACTGTTTTAATTAAACCCCACGTATTATTGGTGGCACAGGGCCAGGCTGGGCTGTGGCTCTGCTGGGGCTGGGCATCCCCACGGGCACAGCCAGCCCTGCTCCAGCCCCAGCCCAGGGACATGGAGAGGTGGCAGCAGGACAGCTCTGCCCATCCCTCCTGGACATCCTGGAGAAGGCAGGTGGGGCTCCACAGGGATGGGATGCTGTGGAGTTGCAAAGCTGGCTCCATGTGAACCTCTAACTGCCCTCAAGAGCAATTTCTTCCTCTTTCCTCCCGCCCTCCCTGCCCATGATAGATTGCTTCTCCTGGAAGATTTAATACGTGGCCTGCTTAGCCCCCAAATTTGGTATTTTTGGATCCTTTCACTGGCATTAATTTGCTTTCTCTCCTGGGCTACACCTCAGCCTTCCTTCAGTGAGCAGCTCTAGCCCAAGCATTTTGAAATAGTGCTGAGAGCTGCAGCGAGTTCAATTAAAACCCTGGGCAGAGTCCAGGAGGGGAAAGAGCTATGGTGACCCCAGCCATGGAGCAGCACAATTCCAGCTATCTCAACTTTGCCTTTGCAACAAGGAGCACCTCAGGTGTGTCCAGCCACGTCTGTTGGGGCAACACTGGTGGTTCAGATCTTTTCCCCAGGACCAAGATTGATGAGAGAGAAGCTGTTTGCGTATTTGGGCTTAGGATGTTTATTTTTCCTTATCTATATTATATATTTACAGAGTACAAGGAACTATGTAACACTAGGGTAACAAGGTACAAAATGGCTGGAGAAGTATCTCTTCAAGGTCTTTTAAGTGTCAACCCATCCAATAATGAAATGCCAAGTAACTTATTTTCATTAATAACCCCATAACCTGACACCTGTGTCCTGCAATGTGGATTCTTTCATCTAACCCCTTAATATCACCCAAAAACCCCAGAAGAAGAAGAAGGAGAAGGAGAAAAGGACAATGCCCTAAATCCTCCATGTTGTCTCTTATTCACTAATATAGCTTAAACCCTAAACTCTTTCCCATCCAGTGATTTAATATAATTCTATCTAACTTACACACTCACATTCCCAGTTTCTCCACTTAGTTCTAGAAGCTTTCTCCGTGGTTTTAAGTTAAACTCAGTGTTCTCTTAACAATCAGAGCCTGTCAGCACAGATAAGGGAATATTTTCTGTGCCTCTGACTCCAACACACCTCCATGTGCAAAGTGGCAACATGAGAGGGAGAAAGCCAAGGGATGCAAAGCTCTGGCAAGAAGGCAGAACTCAGAGGTTTAAACACTTTAAACATCACTTGTTACATCAACAATAAAAAGAAATCCACCACAAGGCACAACCTCTTTCTTTTACGTGCATCTTCTGTTCTTAATCTTGGATATTTCCTTCCCCAGTGCTCACCACACCAGAGAGAAAGGAATAAAAGAGCCATAAAGAATATTAAAATCACATGGGCACATCTCTAGCCATAAATCTGGGCTTGAGTTGTAATTGGCTCTTGTGACACAACCCAACAAGACAAGGAGGCAGAAAAGGGAGAAAAATATTTTCTAATCAGTTTCATGGGGATGCAGCTCCCTGGCCCTCCCAGCTTCACCTTGACCACCGGTGAGTGAAAGTCAGGGCAGGGGAGGAATTAATAACCTGTGTCCCTGCAGCAGCAGCTAATGGCTAAATAAGGACTCACAGAATGCAATTAGAGGGAGAAGTCACACCAGGGTGAGGGTTACTAAATGAACCATCCAAAATCTGGAGCTGAAGGGCAGCTTTTGGGACAAAGCCTTGGGTTTTTCCTTTGTTCATCCTTTGCTCTTCCCCAGGAGTTCTAAGTGCAACAACACAATTTAACTTAGCTCTACCAAGAGCCACTATTTCAAATGTCTCCTTACTTTTGACTTAAGCTCCCTTATAGATCAATTTAGGTTATTTTTTTCTCACTGAACACACCTGAGCTGGCTGCAGACATGGATTTGATGTGGTGGAGAGCTCTGCTCTCACTCCCACCCCACCAGATCCCTATCAAGGCAGCACAAAGAAAAGCCAACTGGGAGATCTCTTAACCCAGTTTTTCTCACAAGCACAGGGGTTTCACCGAGAATGTATCACACCCTTGGCCCCAGCCATGCAGGGAGCAGCATCTCCATCCAGGTGGGTGAAGGTGCTGCACCTTCCCCAGCCATGAGCTCCCCAACAGCAAAAAAACTGGTTTGGGACCAATCTCTGATTGAAAAAAAAAAATATATATTTTTCTTTTTTCTCTGAGATTTTTTTTTATTTTTTTTTATTAAAATGGGTAAAAATGTTGTCAGTCAAAAGATCTAAAAATTCCCTGGAAAAGTGTTAAAGACCTCCAGGCACATTGCAACTTCATGTGTAAGAGCTCAGTATAGCTGGGAATGCCCGACTCCACTGAAACCCAACAGGTCTGCAGAGATCCTGGTTTATTAAAATTCATTTGAAAATGTCTCTTATTTCATATCTTTAGCTAAGCACCAGCTTTTTTTCCTTGGCCACCATGTAAAACCACCTGCTGATCCGTCCATCCTCAAGGGCCGTGCCTGGGCTGCTGCGAGCCCCAGATGAAAAGCAAAAGCCCCCAGTGCCATCAAACAGAGCTGCAACAGGCTCTTAAGAGATAATAAAGCTCCCAAAGCAGATTCCTTCACAAGCAAACCCCACAGCACTCCACAGCATCGCTTTCAGAGATCAAAGGAGGGAAGGGAAGTGGGATCGATGTGATGTGTTTGTTTTAGAGCCGAAAAGGGAAGAAAAGACCAAGCAATTTGTTGTGGAGTTTAGAGTGAGCTGCTCCTCTGGAGGGCAGGACTTCCAGCACATGATGCTGCTTGACATGTGATGCAAAGTACCCCCTTGATTTACAAAACATTTTGGCTTTCTGGATGTCACAGAGCTCCCTGCAAATGGGACACAGGCAGAGCCAGCCACTGCCACAGCCCATCACCCACAGGGACAATCAGTTCATACTTCACCAGGCATCTCATGCAAGAAAAAAACCCTCCCTCGCTCTCAGGTTGCCCCATGATCCCTCCCACACCACATCCTCACCATCCATCCCTGCACAGGGAATCTCTCAGAGCTCCCTGGCTGCTCCTTCCTCTGAATTATTTAAAGGGAAGAGCCAGGTAGGCTGCAATTCTAACAGCACTAAACAGGGAGCTTTATTTATTTATGAGCATATCTCAGCATCTGGGCTGCCTTGTCCTAGCAACTGAAGGCAGCTCTTCACCTCTGCAGAGAGCAGGGATGAGGCAGCTTCGGTCTGATCATTTTGTACACCATCATCTTGGCCTCAAATCCACGTGGGACAGAGCAAGGAGGACCCAGCACGGTTTATTTACTGTTTTTCCAGTCTCCACTCTGATTTCTTGGGGTCAAACAGCAGTCCTGGGAACAGCAAGCCTGGTGAGAAGCAGAGAGGGAGGAAATGTCCCACTCAGGGCACTCCATCCCAAGGAGCTGTTCCCACTTGAGGCTGCTCTCAGTGGAGATGCTTTGTCAGGCAGATCTGCAAGGAAGTTTTCCAGCCTTGTGCTAACACCCTCAGGAGTCTAAAGGAGGTGATTTATCCCTTTCTGGAGGGGGATTCCACCCTCCCAGCACCAACAGGATAATCTCCCCCTGTTTTCCTAAGACCAGGGATGACACTTGAGTGTTTTAAAAAAGCAGGTGGAGCGTGTGACACCCGGGAAACCTGAGCTGCTCCCATCTGCTGTCCCTTCTGTGAGGGATTTCTCCTGTAATGGGAAGGATCAGAGCCTCAAGCTGGTGCAAAGGAGTTTCTGCAGCTCTGCTAGGATGGACAGGGCTGTGCTGAACCCTCCTGGCAGAAAAATATTTCCGTGGTGTGGAATCTACAGTCTGAAATTACACCCTGCAGGGCTTCCAGCTCCCCTGGCTGGGTGTCCAGATCCCCCTGATGTCCCTGTTTTGAAGGAAAAGTCATGGCAATGCAAAAGAAACCCACAGGACGCTGATTTCACCAATGTTTTGGGCTCCAGGCTGTGTTTCCATGGGAGTTTGGGAGTGGGGTTCTCAGCCCCACAGCTCCTATGCTTCCAGAAAAGTCCTTCTGTCCCACTGCTGAGGTTTAATGCTGCTGCAGTCCCAACATTTTAGACTTTGGCTGTTCCCAGGACATCATTTTGGTAGTTCCAACCTTCCCCTTTCCATTTTTTGTCCTCTTTTTCTCCAGGAGGATGAGTCACTGGGGATCACCCCATTCCTGTGACTGTGCCCCCTGTCAGCCATCAGTTCTGGAATCCTGGGCCCACCACCCTGAGCACTCCTGGAGCTGCCC